CAGATGGCTTCACAGGTGAATTCTATCAAACATTTAGAGAAGAGCTAACACCCATCCTACAAAAAAAAAAAAAAAAAAAAAAAAAGGAACACTCAGAAAGCTCTTAGAAACTAAAAGTATGATTTAAAAAAAAAAACTCAGTAAAAAGTTTGAAATTAAATAAGAAATCTCTCAGAAAGGAGGAAAAAAAAAACAGAGATGGAAGAAAATGAATTCCAACCCTGAATCCTATATCTAGTCACATTATCAACCCAGGTATGAGGACAGAAAAAAAGATACTGGCAGAAATGCAAGATTTCAAGTACCTTCTCTCAAAAAAACTGCTGGAGGGTGTACTCCCATCAAAATGTGGAAGAAATACAGAAAAAGGAAGTCATGAGATGTAGGAAACATTAAATCCACTTCAGGGGTACAGAGAATCACCAGGATGATGATGAAGGGGCTTTGCAGGATGAAAACTACAGGCAGCAAATCCAGAATCTGGGTGAAGTTTCCTCAGGAGGGTGAAATTGAAAGGATTTCTGATGTATGTGAATACCCTGGGAGGAGATCTAGACCACAGGTTGATCTGGCCCACTGCCTGGTTTTTAAATAAAATTTTATTTGAACACAGCTACGCTAATTTATTTATACCTTGTTTATGGCTGCCTTCACACTGCAAAGCAGAGTAGAGTAGTTGCAACAGAGATCTTAATAGCCTGCAAAGTCTAAATATTTTCTATCTGGCCCTTCAAAGGATAGATCTAGAGAATTGATTTGAGACAATTGGTCCAGAGTTTGTGGTTGAATTGGTTATGTATACATAGAAAACAATGCAATTGCTCAATCTAAGGAGAACAGAAATTGGGGAGGAAAGGAAAAGTAGCCATGATTTACTACATGAGCCTGTGCACCACAGCGGGAGAGGCCACAACAGTGAGAGGCCCGCGTACAGCAAAAAAAAAAAAAACTTCACCTGTTCCAAAAACCATTCCTACTTAAACCTACAAACATGGGGAGACAGGTATTTCTCAATAATTATTTGTAGATATAGGATAATCTAAAGCTAAGTTGTGGTTCTGGATGATTTTGACTTCTGAATTAAAGTAGTTTTTGCTTTTTTTCTGACTCTTGATAGGATCTTTCCAATTAAAGATATACCCCTGGAGACTGATAACCTTGCTGACTGGCTCTATCAGCGTTTTATTGAAAAAGAGGACCTCTTATCACATTTTTATGAAACAGGTACACAGAGTCCTATTATACATGTTCCTGATGTTACTGATAGTTTGAAAGATGTACTTTAGGGGAGATAACCATTTTTCGCTTCTTCAGATACCCTAAAGGAATCACAGTATTTCTGTACTTAAGAATTTCAGCTTAGAATTTTTATAAAGACAAATTTATGTGAAATTTATTCAGGCTCTTCATCAGCCAGTGTGGAAAGATCAAATGGTGAGTATCCATTGTATAAATGGATCTAGTTCAAGAGAGTACACAGTCTGGAAGATGGCCAGCATACATTTACGATTATATGGTCTGTTTTATGAAATAGCAAATATCATTGATGTGTTGGCATTGTACTTGATTGTTTGACTGATACCGTCACCATACAGTTGTTTCAGATCACTTTTGACTGCATTTTCAGGGACTTGCCTGGTGGTCCAGGAGTTAAGACTCCATACTTCTACTGCAGGGGGCATGAGTTCAGTCCCTGGTTGGGGAACTAAGATCCCGCATGTTGTGCGGCCAAATAAATAAATAACTGCATTTTCACATGCTTTATTCTTTTCTTTACATGGAGGGTAAAGTTTACATGTTAAGTTTTCATGGATATAAGACCTTATTACATTTTTCTCCTAGGGAGACATTTACCCTAAGATCACTTTTCTATACTCAATATTCTGTACGTTCTGTGACAACTACAACAGGCGAAAAAGACCTAGGAGGCAGGGAGGGGAGAGGGAGGTAAAAAAGGAAGTTAGGAAAGAAGGAAATAACATTAGTAGAACACCAGGCATACCAAAGTGCTTTCACAGTTAGCTGTGCCATAGGTCTATTTTCTAGACCCTGCAATAGGGATAAAAAGATGAAGAGAGGGGCTTCCCTGGTGGCACAGTGGTTGGGAGTCCACCTGCTGATGCAGGGGACACAGGTTCGTGCCCCGGTCCGGGAAGATCCCACATGCCGCGGAGCGGCTGGGCCCTTGAGCCATGGCCGCTGAGCCTGCGTGTCCGAAGCCTGTGCTCCACCACGGGAGAGGCCGCAACAGTGAGAGAGGCCAGCGTACCGACCGCAAAAAAAAAAAAAAAGATGAAGAGAAAGTTGTCCTGGGCCTGAGAATAGCCGTAGGGTTTTAGATGAGTAGAGGCCCAATTTTCTTCCCACCTAGACTTTTTTGGTACAGAATTAAAGTAGATATTGAATCAGACTATAGAAGGTCTAATACTAATAAGCAAAGGCTGATGCTGTTAATTACCTTTAAGGCTTTTTTCTTTATGTTTAGGGTTGTTTCACTTTGTCCTCAATAGGATTCCTTCCCCAGCTTTCCGACCCTGGGGCTTTGGAGTAGTGCATGTTAATATGACAGGAGTAGGACATTGTGTGTATGCCATTAGAATTCCCAGTAAGACTAGTTGAACAAGTTGCCTCTCTCTGCTGCGTGCATTCCTTGGTCTTACTCTAGAAATTTCTTTCAAGATGAGATAGGATGGATATCTAAGAAGGCATCAAGTGAGTAAAAGGCCAGCAAGATCTGTCTTCTTTTTCAGTCTCAATCTCTTTATGATATTTGGCCTAAATAGTAGCAACAATAATAGAAACTCATTTTTAAGAAAGCGATTTGTATAACAGACGTTGAAACTTAAAAGCGTTCTCTGTAAATTGTTTGTGAGAAGCAAATCCTCTCTTGAATCAGCTTATCCTAGGGGATTATCAGCAAGGACAAAGACTATTTGAAATGCTGAAGAGTGTTTTCAGGATGACCTTAGGTAATATTGCTCCAAAGTGTCTCGCCTTCCTTTCCAGAAGAGAATTTACAGACATCTGTTTACTTTGTGTTTCTCCTTTTTGTTATTAAGACATATTCCATAAACCATATTGCCTTTTGAAAATAATATCAGTAATTTACAACCCCTTTTGTGGCAAAAACATTTAACTTGTAAATAGAAGCATTAGTATAAATTATGCTATTCTGGAAATATTTTCTTTTTTATTGGCCTCGCCACATGGCTTACAGGATCTTAGTTCCCCGACCAGGGATTGAACCCAGGCCCTTGGCACTGAGGGCACAGAGTCCTAACCACTGGACCGCTAGGGAATTCCTTGGAAATTATTTAATTGAGTCACACATCCTGTGTCCTGGCCATTGTGGAAATCTATAGGGATGCAGTGGAAAACAGTGCAGCCATAGTGCCTTCTGTCATGCAGCTTATATTCCAGCAGGAGACAGAGAGTAAACCAGTCTGTAGAAAAAAGAAAAGGTAGATTGGAATCAATACAGATTGTGGAAAGTGCCAAGAAGGAAATAAACACGGAGATAAGAGTGACTGATGGGGAAGGGGAGACTAGATGGGTGGTATTTTTCTGATATTGGAAGAATGCAAGGAGCCTGCCATTCACTGAGGTGGAGGAGGAGCGTACCAGCCAGAGAATAAAGGCAAAGACTCAGGGAGGCAGGAAAAGGCTTAGCGGTTTGAAAATTGTATTTCAAATGATATCTCTCTTTAAGAGCAACAAGAAGTCACAGAAGATGCTTTAAAAAAAACAAGAGCAAAAAACTGTAGTTGAACTAATGTTCAACTTTTATTCTAGGACACCTACCACCACAGTGAAACAAATTAATATTTCTATCTTGTCTTTTAGGGGCTTTTCCACCTCCCAAGGGCCACGAGGAAGCTGTTTCCAGGGAAATGACGCTCAGCAATATGTGGCTATTTCTCATACAGTCTTTTGCATTTTTGTCAGGCTATATGTGGTACAGCATCTTTCAGTATTTTTACCATTGCCTGTTTTAGGAATTGACTTGGACTTGTCAAGGTCACCACAGGAGCTTGGACTTTCATAAGCGTGCATTGTTTTACATGTACAAATCAGAATATTTAAAAAAAGGAAAAGGAAATTCAATGGATGGATTAATATTTATCCCCCTTTGGGATATTTTAAAACGCTACTAAAATGAGGATCAATAATATAATGACCTGCAAATATGTTTTAAGGACTTTTCATGTTTTAAAAAGATACACTCCATCACACATTTAAGCAAACATCACTTTTGGAGAAGAGGAAATCATAAAATCATCCTAGAAGACTCTCTGAGACAAATTCTGTTGCCACCAGATATACCTGTTAATCTAGTTCAAGCTCAGAAAGTTGTACGCATCCGTTCCTTTTAGCTAGTAGTCTCTATTAGGCAGTGCTGTAGAGCGCCCTCATCTCCACCAACTCCTGCTGTGTTACTGGTAACCTCGAGGGGAGCTGGTTGGCACCTTCTGAAGAACTCTTGCCCTGTTGTTCGCAGCGACACTCCGGTCCTCCACAGCTACATGAAGTTCAGTGTCAAGCATACTCTGGGGGGCAAAGCAGTGTCCACTGGACATATTCTGGTACTAGAATGTGTTCTTCAGAAAGACCAGCTCAATCCAATGCTGTGTTTACATGCACTAGTGCTTCCCCTTGTATGAGGGGTGGGTCATTTGATTTATCTTCTTGTATAGAAGACATATCATAGGTTGATGATTGTCTTTTACAAAATGCACTTTTATCAGATGCATATATAGCAAAGGATTAGTACTATAACCTAAAAACAAACATAAGCATAATCAGTGAGTGGGATTTTTGAGAGGCTGCCTGTCTGCACGTGGATCTGTGCTCTGGCGCTCTCCAGCGCTGCCTGCATTGGGCACCAACCACACCGAGGCTTCCGTCCCGCTCAGAGCCTTTTTTTTTTTTCCCTCCATTTTGCATATTAGCATTAAATGCATATGGGGATGGTTGAAACAAATTAAGGTAAGACATTTGAATGATCAATTTAAGGTGAAATAGACTAGTTTATTAGAAAAATAAGAGATAAGCCAGGCACTGGCTTCAAATGGTGACAGGTTCTCACATGGCACCCCCGGAACCTGTGTTCCCTTAGCACATCAAGGAGCTGCCCATGTGAGAGTGGTGTAACCAGGAGAGAGACCAGCAAAAAGGCTTCTCAGTCTCTTCCAATTGCTTTTGGAAAGGATAAAGTCAAGTTTCTATTTCTAGAAAACTTCTTTTTCTTAAATTTGTCACTATGTTCGTGTGATTGACCTCATAGTAGAACCAAACACTTCTCAAAAAGTGCTGGCATGCCATCAGCCCATCACCTGCACTCCCAGTGTTGAGAGGGAGGCTATTTTTTGGCTTGGGACTATAAAACTATTTAGATCCTAGTGAGTCAGTGGTAGTTATCTGTGATGTGAGCATTGTAGGTTCCCCTATCGCCACTAATCGTACAAATGACAACTTTGAGAAGTAGGCAGAAAATTAAAGGCTAGTGTTATCTATTTTTCAATAAACCAAAAAAACTGAAAAGATGTGAATTTTCTCCCAGTTATGTGGGAAAGGCAAAGCAACACCAAATCAAAGCCCACAGCATCTTCATCTTTAGGGTTAATCCAATGCCTATGTGAAATAGAATGATGCGTTACCTGAAATACCTCACTGAATATTAGACTACTACTGGTGAAATGCAGAAGACAGTGTTAATGTGTTTAGTTTGGTAATGGTTGTTATAAGATGCAGTTTTTTGGAAATCTAAGCATTTCCTTATGTGTTTTACAGTGACAGTGAATAAGTGAAGCCAATCTCAATATAGAGGTATGGATAACGATAGGAAGACGGATAGAAGCTTAAAGATGCTTTTGTTTGAGGCCCAGCAAACACTACTTGACAAGATGAATTGAAATTGTTCATTTGAGAGATTAGTCAGCCATCTGGAGGATAAGTTGCTCACTGTCGAGTATGGCACGCACAGTCCTAGCCAATAGACCTTTTCCTCGTTGCTAAGCAAGCCACAGATAGCGTGGCCAGTTCTCCCATCCAAGAAAAAAAAAAGAGAGAGGAATGCATACATGCATATATAAATGTGGTTTAGGGCCACTTTTGCCATCACTGTGCTCCCAAGGAATGTGGTATTGTTTAATATACTGTATATGTTAAACAGACTATTATGTAAGATGCTTTACTTTTCAAGCGCAGTCATTTCAACAGTTTGTAGAGTGACAAATACCAATAGATGTGTGAGTTAACTTTTGAAAATAGATCTGTGAGTTGTAAATAGATGTGTATTTGATCTGCCCTATCCCTCTTTGATTCTTCATCAACATGTTCTCTCTCTTCTGTTGGCAAAATGTTTGAGAGCATTGATAGTGCTTTTTCCGTATCAGTAACTGGAGTTCTCCTGCTTGTACTAGAGAATGTAAAGAGAGAATCCATGTTTTTATATGGCAATCAGGGAAGCAGCAATATGCCACTGTACAGAACTGAATTAAAAGTCCTAATTTGTATTTTCTTTGCAAAGTGAGATCAAAGGATGTTTAGAAAATATACACTTTGTCAAGGGGAAAGAAAATAAAACTGTGCCAGTTTTATGCCTGTAGCTTGTAGAATCTCAGCACTTCTTGGTCTCAGCTGATCTGCCCAGATTCACACAGCAGACAGGGTTGAGAACTCCCTGCTGGACCCTGGTCTCAACGAGTCGCAGTGAGGGGAGCATCTGCTTGACCACAGGCAGGTGCAGTGACTACAGAAGTGACCACCCCAGCAGTTCATGCTTAACTTCAGAAACTCTCATTGGTGTTGAAATATACAGATATTGTGGAGAAACCTATATGCCAGTAGAAGGTAAAGGAAAATTACAGAATGGAAAATGATGTTTTGGGTGGGCAAACGAGTTGAGAATCTAAATAGTAGATTTTTTTTAAAGCTAGCTATGAGTTCAGATCTGTCGTGTTATTAAGTAGTTGTTAATATTACAACCAACCCTTAATTTTCCACAGTAAAAGAACTAGAGATTACTGGATAGTTAATCCAGTAATAAGTCATAGTAAGCCAAAAATCTAATTGTATTTAGGTGTTTGAGTTTTTATTATCATCGAACTTTTTTTCTTCTAAGGATGCATATTAATTTAAAAAATGATTTGAGTTTATTAGTTTCTATTGCCTATATATTTATGACTGTTAATGAGTAGTGAAAAGATTTGGAAAGACAGCTTCAGGAAGAGGAAACACAAAGGCCTAAATAATCCATGGGCTAGAAAAGGAATCCATGAATAATCAAGAGTTGGCGGTATTGTAATTTTTCTCGAGCCTTTTTGTGAAAATGAAATGTTAAATCACCAAATGTAAACCTCAGAACATCCCTGTAGCGTTAATAGTGTTTGGATCGGTGTTAAGAATGCCTCTCATTCTTTGCTCACGTTACTCACTTCTGGTGGATTTGTCTTAGTAACGTTTCTTGACAATCACTTCCCTACAGACTGTTCTGAAGTATTGGGACCTGGTTATAATCGTAGAAAGTTAATCATGGATAGCCTTATTGGATTCTTTTTATATTTAAGAAAATTTATTTGCATTGCTGAATAGGAAGAGTCAGTTATTTCCTTCATTACATAGGACTTCCTTCCAGAGTTGCCATTATGAGTATGTCAGCTCTGGTCCACAAAGGATGGATAAAAATGGTTCTTCTTATTTTTTTGCAATGTAGTGCTGTGAATTTTACATCTGTTAACATGAAAGGCAAAGGCAAAGCCACCCTGGGCAGCAAGTATACTGGTTCACTTTATGAGACAGTAGAGACTAATACGTTTGGGACCAAAACCACCTAAATTGGACATTTCTCAGTCACAGAGGGGCCAGGTGTTCTCTGGAACAGTCACTGGTTGGTGCTTTATTGTAATCATTTTGCATTGATACCCAACAATTAGGAACTGGACCCTGGGGATAAGCTGAGGGTGCTGAACTGTTGGGGGAGGCTGACTGTAGCTATATGGAAAATAAGGGTTTTTCTGCAAATTTCCATTTTAGGATTTTTACATTTAATATTTTTTTAAAACAGTTAAAAGAGCAAAAAAAAGTTTTAAGTGTAATCTAGTTGCGAGGTATGCACACGTATTTTGAATGGCTTTATTTTTATTGTGTAAAACTGTTGAACACATGACTGTGATGCACAAATTCTTTACATATAAGGAGTCTATGCATTTTACAGTAACTCATTTCATGATTGGGTAATGAAACAGTTGTACGTTGAATTGCCATTGTTGTATTAAGGGCTTTCATTTTCTTTACAGTTATTACAAAGTTGTATTTATTTTATACAGGTGGATTTTAATTTTCCTGATGCCATAATGTTTACTTTAGCTTGTTGACCTGTCTTTCTTTGTGTATCTGCATGTTGTAATATATGATAAGAATGAATGTAAAGGCTGTGGCAACTGTAATTAAATTTTGCAAAGGGCTGGTCACATGTGGATCTGGTTTATGAATGCATTTGGGATTATTTTCATAACCAGATCACCTTTTCAGAAATTTAGATGTGAACACCAAAAGAAGCATTTTCTCAACAAAAATTAATAGCTGGTTCTATTTTTTTTAACCTAGAAAAAATAAAGTTGATTTTTTTCAAGTAAAGTGCTTTTAATTCTTAGTAGTGGGGATGGGTGGTTGTATTTTACTGGAGATATTTAGGCATTAACATCTGTGGATGTGTATCATGGCAGTTGGATGCTGAGGGCAAACTGAAAATCCAAATGAAAAAACACTGTACTTCCTCTGGTTTTAAACTATTCCCCCCACTCCTTCCCACTCTCCCCATCCAGTGGTATACTGGTAAATGTTGAATAGACTGCTCTCCTAGAAGAAAAATTCTGTATTCAAGTGTGCATACGTTTGTTAAAATTTTGCTGACAGCAAGGACATATAAACACAGTTAACAAATAATAATAAAATATACTTTATTGTAAATCCCATATAGCCAGTTGATTCTCCCAGGATACTTAATTGATTTTTGCTGAACTCCTGTAGCCAATCTATGATCGCAATTCATCCATGATTTTAAAAATGGAATTACATC